AAGCAGATAAAACACATTTACATGTATGTTTGCCCAACACTCTGTAGAAGGAAGCCGAAACAGCAACATCTCTGAGTAGGTCAAAATGTTATAATGTTTTATTGACTCACGTGTGGGGGGGTCAGCTTACAAGTCAGAGACCACTGACTTATGATGATAATGATCGTATAGTTTTTATGCATTTTCAAATCAAGATTAAGAACAGGCTTAACCACTTCAGTACCGGCACATTATACCCCCTTCATTACCAGCAGGGCCGGATTAAGAGCATCACAGGCCTAGTGCTGAGGATTTGGGGGGAGATGGCGGATTTATGGAAATGGTGATGGTCACCAGGGCCCTCTTCCTCCTGTCCTGGCTGTGATTTGTAGTCTCTCTACAGCTTGGAGTCAGTGGTGGAGCGCCAAGGCCCAGTAGCTACGACCTTGATAGATCTCTTACTGACTTCAAGCTGTGGAGAGACTAGAAATCTTAGCAATACATTATAGAGCAATGCAGAATACCAACAACTATAGAGGATTACAAATCCCAGCAATACATTATACAGCACTGCAGAATATTACCACTAACCATAGAGGACTACAAATCCCAGTAATGCATTACAGAGCAATGCAGAATACCACCAGCTATAGAGGACTCCAAATCCCAGCAATACATTGCAAAGCACTGTAGAATAATACCATCAGCTATAGAGGACTACAAATCCCAGCAATACATTGTAAAGCACTGCAGAATACTATCAGCTATAGAGGACTACAAATCCCAGCAATACTTTATACAGCAATGCAGAAAAATATGAAGCTACATACTCTGTGTTGCTCTGGGTTCACAGCCTGATATCTCCAGGCTCTCAGGAGGCTGTTCAGGTTCTTAGGTGGCCAGTGCAGCTCTATGAGGGCCAGTGCAGGTGCTCAGTGCGGGCTCCAGGTGGTCAGTGAGGGATCCAGGTGGTCAGTGAGAGATCCAGGCGGTCAGTGAGGGCTCCAGGCGGTCAGTGCAGTCTCTCAGGCAGTCAGTGTTGGCTCCAGGGGGGTCAGTGCGGGCTAAAGGGGGGTCAGTGCTGGCTCTAGTGAGGGCTCAGTGCCGGCTCCAGTGGGGGGTCAGTGCGCGCTCCAAGCTGTCAGTGCGGGCTCCAGGGGGGTCAGAGACACTGGCGACTGCAGCCGCAGTGCCCTCTGAGATGCCTGAATAGACGGCCGTGGCTGCATGGTCAGCCCGGCAGCAATCTGGGTTAGCCATTTTAAGAAAGACATCTATCTTAGACAATAAACTAATACAAGGATACATGTGCAGGAAACACGTATATGAGTTATGAAGGAGAATTTCCAGAGACATCACAAGGAGAATCTTATGAAGTCACGTCTTAAAGGAACATTGCCTAGGACATCTGCGCCCACCTATATCCTTATCTTGGAGAACCCATCTGGGGGGCACGAGTGAACATGGACTTATGTAATGCAGTTTAATGATTTGACAAATATGAAGTAATTAGTTGCTATCAACCAATGGTGTTTAACCACCTGCAGGCCAGCCACTGTGTATACAGTATAAGGCCAGTCCGCTGCCCCATTGTTCCAGGGGGACATACCTGTATGTCCTCCCATGAATGCCTGTGTGCACATGGCCACTGCTGCTGCACCACTGCTCCCTCTGTCAATAGGCAGCGGAGAGCTGGATCGGACCGGCTCTGTGCCCTGTAATGCTGTGATTGGTTATCACAGCGATCACATGGCAGTGTTTACATTGCTAAGCCCTCCCCTTCCTCTTACATCAGAGGCAGGGGAGAGTAAATAAGTAATGAATGGATGAGTCATCCAATCATTACTTCCTAGTGAAAACAAGCTGCAGCAACAGCAAAAAATACAAATAACCTTTCAAATAATTTTAACCCCCCTCCTCTCCTGCTTATGTTATATCCATTCTGGGTCCAGGGGGGGTCAGAGAGAGTGGCAACTGCGACTGGGTCAGCTCGGCCCGGCAGCGATCTGGGACAGCTCGGCCTGGCCGCAATCTGGGTCAGCTCGGTCCGGCCCCGATTTGGGTCAGCTCGGTCAGGCTGTGAGTGTATTGGTAGGGGCGGGCCTGGAGCGGGAGCTCCACCTGCCCCTATGTTAATCCAGCCCTGATTACCAGGCCATTTTTTTCAGCGCTCGGTAAGCTTTGCTGTCATGCAACACTGTAACAAAATATATTTTATATCATTTTTTGGGGACAAATAGAGCTTTCCTTTAGTAGTATTTAATAACTGCTTTTTTTTTCTCTTACCGTTGTTTATAAACCATAGCAAATAAAAATGTCAAAACAATGTGAAATTACCCCTTTTTGGAAAGTAGACACTCCAAGGGGATTTTTTGCCACAAATTTTTGGAAATGAAAAAACATGCCGGTCTCCTCCCCTCAGCTCCATAACAATGTTCTGTGGTTCACAAAAGAGAACTGATTAAGTCAAGTTCTACTGCGTTTAAAGCTAAATACATTTTGTCTAAATATAAGAGACGTGTATTCTTCAATGATTCTTGTTGTGCTTTGTGTATTTTTCCAGAGCTGTGTAGTAATCCAGTATAGAAGTTTGCCTCAAAGACCTCTCACTGGTGCTCTCTTTCCTTGTTCAGTGTGACTTGGTCTTGTATCCAGTAGAAAGGTATCCTGGCACACTCACAAGTCAGCATGTAAAGAAACTTGTCTCACCACTAAGGTTAATAACAGAGGTTTGGATATACGTCTTCTGCAGAAAATGTGAAAGCCGCACAGCCGCGCCAAGGCACCTCTTATAGTGCGGTCCTAACTCTAAACTATGAGAGTCTCCATCTTGGAGCACATGGGGGCAGAAGATATCAAATTGGGTGCAGGTTTGTTAGGAGGAAGCCGACCTCCCTTAAAGGCACAGGAACACACAAGGGATCCCGCACATCCCATTGGCAGCTGAGAACCCCATGCGTCGCTGCACCAAATCAGTCAAGCAAAACAAATGACAAACGCACTCAACAATTTGTTACTAACTATACAGTAAGGTGCACACGAAATGGGCTTTAAACAGCAAACAGTAGAAAGGTATCATGGCACACTCACAAGTCAGCATGTAAAGAAACTTTTCTCACCATTAAGGTTAATAACAGAGGTTTCGATACACGTCTTCGGCAGAAAATGTGAAAGCCGCACAGCCGCGCCAAGGCACCTCTTATAGTGCGGTCCTAACTCTAAACTATGAGAGTCTCCATCTTGGAGCACATGGGGGCAGAAGATTTCAAAGAGAACTGATTAAGTCAAGTTCTACTGCGTTTAAAGCTAAATACATTTTGTCTAAATATAAGAGACGTGTATTCTTCAATGATTCTTGTTGTGCTTTGTGTATTTTTCCAGAGCTGTGTAGTAATCCAGTATAGAAGTTTGCCTCAAAGACCTCTCACTGGTGCTCTCTTTCCTTGTTCAGTGTGACTTGGTCTTGTATCCGCCCCCTCCTGTAGTTTTCTGCAGGTAGCCTGTAGTAGGTGGAGTCTGCTGGACCCCTCGCACAGCTCTGCGCTCTGCACAGGATATGTACAGCCGAATGACCATGGCACTGCCACATTTATATGGTAATATCTGAGTTTGAAAAGGTGTTTGGTGCACACAAAGTATATGAATGTCCTCTGTGGCTATGAAGTAATATATCTAAATGAAAGTTTTTGCACCTTGAGTTCAGCTTTAAGGGTCTATTCACACTGAAATTGGAAGGAAACCGCAAGTTAACAGAGGATCCATTTACTTGCCGTTTCAACCTCCGTTGACTTTTGTTCTGTTCTGTTTTTTTCTCTTTTTTTGCCAATCTTTATTCTAATTAACATGTCCTGAGTGCACAAACATATATGTTTTTTTTTTTTCTTTTACTTCCGTTCAGTTGTGTTGCATTGCGATTACATCCACTTTTGTTCTGTTACGTTGCGCAGAAAAAAATGTAGAGCATGCTCTACTTTTTTTCATCATATTGCAACAGAACGGAACGGATTGCAGCGGCGGTTTGAACTGGTCTTATTCACACCCAATAATTGTTCAGTGCCCTTGTGTTCACAAACAGATCGCAATCCAAAGCAACGGATCTGGTGAGAATGGGGCCTAAATGTTCTTGTATTTACACACACTTACATGTGTTTACGTTTTCTATTTAGACACATTGTAATCTGCCCCTGGAATTCAATTTTCTCTAAACGCAGCTAAACTGAATGCATTTCAACGCAGGTAAACACTCAACCATTATATGCTTATACAGTATGTGCGATTATAAATGTCCTATAAAAGCATATAAACACATGTATGTCATTATTAATGTGAATGAGGCTCTATAAAGTTGTACCTTCTGCTTTTCTCCATATAACTTGTCACTTTGAAAACTATATTTCTGTATTTTTTATGACACAGTTGGCAGGTCTGTCCTGAATCAAATCTTCAAAATCACAGTCACCTCAAATACTGACACCATTGCTCCTGCTGCTGCAAAAAAAAAAGAGGGCTAAGGCTCCAGTCACACGTGAACGGTTTTCAGCGCATTTACGGCCGCACAGATACGCGCAGAACTGCGCTAAACATAAAGCATTGCAATGTACAATGTTCAGACTATTGTCCCGCAAAATAGACCAAGAACAAGTTCATGGGTGGATTCCACACGTTACAGTTATGGTAATAGCCACAAATGTGCGGAATCCACTCCTATGTTAACGTATGTGCAGTTTCGTTCCGCACGGTTTTCCATTAGAAAAAACGCATGGAAAACGCTATCGCTGTGTGTGAATGGAGCCTTATGATTTCTTTCCCTTTTAAAAACATTGGCAGCAAGTATTTTTTCTCTTTTCAATACAGTCAATCTTTCTTTTCATACAGACCATGTGGCAGCTCCTAGTGACAGTAAAATACTTTTGTACTCCTCAAGAGTAAGGAATTGGGCATCAGCTTGCCCTAAACAAAGATGGCCGTCCGAGCCTCAGCAGCCCCTGGAGAATACCCAGCAGGCTTCGCGCTGCCCGGAAGGTTGCTGCTGCTGTTGACAGTATGGCGGTGGCTGTAGCCGAATGTGCAGGAAGGAGGAAGTGTCATTCATGTTAGAAGAGCCGGGTTGTGTGTGCCCAGGGGAGGTCGGTGAGCGGGTCCCCGGCATCCCGTGTGCTAGGAGAAGGGAGCCGGGGCGCCCAGCATGTGCTGACTGATTGCGAAACCTTCCGCCCGGCGCCATGTCCTTCTTCCGCAGGAAAGGTAAGCGGGATACCCATCCCCGGGGACAGGCACTCTGACAGCCCTGCCTTTGTCAGGCTTCGTACATGGCCTGCGGCTTAAAGAGGACCTGTCATCAGCGTGCTCTACATGAGATGACATTGTGTTGGCAGGATAATGATTCGCCTATGAAGTTCTTGTAATAGAATCTATCATGGTGTAGGGACGTTTACCCTGACTTGTCCCTGTGTGCATTATATGGGGCATGTCCGGCCCACTGATGTCAGGAGATCATGTGATGGGATGGGTAGTCCTCACCAGGTGTGTGACTCCCCCAGTTGGAACAGGAGGGGTATGTCTGTGCAGGAAAGTGTTAAAGTCTTATTACACCCTCCCTGTAAAAAATGACAGTGGCAAACCTTTGTACTTCCTCTCCTGTCATCTCTCTGCTATTCCCATCAAAGGATTCCCCAGCCTCTACTTTGTTTTTAGGGTGGCCCCTTTCCCTTGCAGGGTCCCCTGGAGCCACCTTTACCAGCTCACTCCTGCATGGCAAAGCTGCCTGATGTGCTGTCTTTCCTTGCCCAGGCAGGTGGGTGCACCATATGTAGCTTGTTCCCTAGCTCCTCCTCCAGCAATTGACAAGTGAGTGGGCGGAGAGACCAGCAGAAATTCAGTACTTGCACTCATGCGAAGGGCCATGTATGACTCTGCGGGCAGTCATGGGACCTGGTAATGTTTATAGGGGGCACCCTTCCTACCAGAAGTTCAGTGAAGTGACACTGAGGAATAAGGAGGAAGTGGCTATTGAGAATTTAAACATCCAGTGACTGGGGACAAGATTTTGAAATCAAAATGCTTCAGGATCGGCCAGAATACTGTAGTCACAAAAAATAAGAGGATTTAATACCACTTTAAAGCTGAACTCCCGTCTGACCTTTTTATCCTTACACTCGTGTCGGGCCCTCTCCTTCCTCGTGACGTGCCCTCACCTGCTTTGTGTCGGGCCCTCTCCCTCGTCGCGGCAAGTCTGTTGTATCAGGGCCTCTCCTGTGTTGTAACTGCTTTAATTTCCCTGTAAATTTGAATCTCCGCAATATAATCCTTTGAAGCTGCAGCAGCGATCTTGAGCCCACCTTAATTTCCTGTCTGAATGACCTCCATCATTTCTCGATCACTTTTCCTCCTGATCTGTGCTGTTGTTGGTCTCCTTCTTAAAGGAGAACTATGGGGTTAAGGCTCTTCCCCATAGTTCTCCTCAGGGTAACGGGAGGACACAAACTAGCGTCCTCCCGTCACCCTAGGCTCAGTATACCGCGAGCTGTAGCTCACGGTATACTGAGACGCCACAAACTAGCGTCCTCCCGTCAACCTTGGATCAGTATACCGCGAGCTGTAGCTCGCGGTATACTGAGACGCCGCAGTATGCCGCAAGCTGCTGCTCGCGGTTTATATAGACGTCGCAGCTGAAGCGGATCCCAACAATTGTGCCGGGATCCGCCCAGCTGCGTGACTGATAGCGGGCTCTGCCTATCTAGAGGCCGAGCCAGCTGTACCCGCCCCCTCCCCCGTCCGTTCCGCCAGTCAGCGCTGGCAGATCGGAGCGGGCAGAGGGGAATCCAGCCCTCGAGAGGTGAGCGAACGCCGGTATGTGTTCGCTCACTTCCCAATCTACTGAGCTGACCTGTGACAGTCTCATTGTCACAGGTCGGCTAGAACTATGAGGTGAGTGAAAAGCACTCACCTCATAGTTCTCCTTTTAAAGCTTTTGGCTTTCTCTGCCATCAATGATTTCATTCCTGAGCAGTGATCAGCAGGGGCTTGTTGTGAACCTTGTTGGGTCACGCAAAACTGTGACTGGCACATATCCTCCTGGCCCATCTAGCTGCAGCAGGGATATTGCCGCGGCACAGCTACACATCACAAAGGGGCGTTGTCAGTCACAGATTTGCATTGACTGGCCCCCACTCATCACTAGTCATGAGCTTTATGTGAAAGAACACACCCCCGGCATCCCCTTAGGACGGCATGGGAAGGTAATATATGTGAACTCTACACCTCAACTTTAAAAGCTAACTTTACCTATAAAACCATGTTTCATGTAATACCCATATTCAGATCATCAACATACCTGACTTGGGGGGGTTCTTCTCCCCGCAGGAAGCTGCTGTTTTTTGAATTTGGTGCTGCTGTGACAGGATCTTTGAATGGAGACTATAAGTCCCATGAGCCACCACGGCAGAGCGATTTGTAGTTCTTAGTGGAATACAAGTGCGGTAATTTCCATTCATTCTTCCTCCCATTCCTGTTACTGAATGTCTGTACATTGGTGCGCACAGGGACGGGAGGGAGAATCTGCAGGAGCCAGAGCGTTGCACCGACGGTCCACTGATATTTTGCCTAGGTGAGAATGACTTCTCTGTTACTTACTTCTAGAGTATAAATGTCAGATATCCCAGAAGCCTTCAGGCAACTCTGAAATCGCAGCATGTGCGTGACTGGTGGCAATTGCGCACTCAGCGTTCTACTTGTAGAATCGTATTAATTACATTGTGTGTACAATATGATTCCCCTGTTAGAGTGCTGAGTGTGCAGACGTGGGATCTTCTGTGACCAGCATTGGTATGGAGTCCCTTTTTTCCTAATTAGGTGGCAGCCCTGATCCATGTCAGTGATGGTGGGCTGGGACTACTGGGAAGGTGTTGTCCTTGTGCAGCAGTATGGTGATCATGTCTTCTATGGCATCACCTTCTTTTTGTTGCAAGAACCTTCACCATTGTGTGGGGAGGAGGGTTATTCTTGCTGCTACTTGCCTTCAGCAGACTTTAGGGTGGGGTAGACACCACAGATATCACCCCAAATACAACTAGTTGTTATTATTGCATCCCAAACATTGCCTTATCTGGGCTTATCAAATCTTAACCCTTGCAGAGGCTACCCCTGCACTGCAAGGGTTAAGTGCTCGTCTTGTCTAAGGAACTACAATAAAGTTATACGCACCTGAACCAAGATCCCAGCTTGCTCCTACACTGCTCCCTTCCCCTCTGTTTCATCGATGGAATGTCCCTTGGCATCCTCACATTCTGTGCACCGTATCGCATGTGATGACTCACAGGACCTTAGACCGCTGGAGTGGAGGGGGAACAAGGCTCCAGGGACCGGTCTAAAGCGGCCATACGTCTTGCGATTATCGTTAGATTTTTTTCCGTGCCCTCTTTGAACCGTCGTTTGATTACCACTCAGATCCTGCACAGACCAATGTCGTATCGATAATCGTTTGTTCGCTATACTCACCGAATTTCGGAATGGATTTTCGTTTGCGTATGTGCAGCGTTCATGTTGCGATTAGTTTTTTCGCACAAAATGCCACTAATCCATCGATTTTCTTTCGATTGAAAAAAAGTTTTTCAGCCTGACCGATCGAGGAAATTTGTCCAGAAGTACAGTAAAAAAATAAATCTTCAGGTTTCCATCAACTGATTCGATTATCGTAAGAAAGACCATTTGTGGCCGATTTCTGATCAATAATCAATAGGTGTATGGGACACCTTTACAGCAAGCTGGGACCGCGGTTCAGGGGTGTATAACTACCCCACCCTAAGGCCTCATTCACACACAACACAAGAGCAAAATTGTATATTGCTTATATGTGCGTATGTGCATATACGCGTGCACTATATGCAATCCCAGAAGGCATCATTCAACGGTCTTGGGGCGGTGCTCATGCGAAGATCACACTTTCGTCTGGGACGTGAGGAGAGACACAAGGTAAGTCTATGGACGCGTGCACCCGCATGGAGACACTTTGGGACAGGAAGTGCCAGCAGGGACAGAGGAGTCAGCGCTGGATCGGAGACCCGCAGCAGCGCTGGAGGGACAGATGAAAAGGACAGGAAAGGAGAAGATCTGATTAAGAGACATCATTTAAGGTAAGTGCTGACATTAACATTGGGGGGAGGGAAAAACATTTTTGACTTTAATGTCACTTTAACTGTAAATGTTGGCCCTTCAATAATTCCTTTTACTCCGGTGTGTGCGGCAATACTCCATATCCATTGCACAGTTTTTTGTGTGTACATCTGCAATCATATGTGTGTGCGTAGGGGGTTTGGGATGCTTTCAATTTTTTTTTTTTTTGATTGGTGCTCTTTATTGAGTCATTAGGGTCATTGTGCTCAAAGGTTTTCGCGGCACCAAAGTTGGGATTTGGTCAGCTCTGAACTCGGAGATGGTTTAAGTGCTTCCGGGTACATTACGTGCAAAGTAGAGAGAGGAACGGAGTCCTGTAGATTGAACAGGGGATGAGAGGATATCTTTTCAATGTGAAGGAACAAGTGTCCCAATTGGAAGCTTTTCCCTCCATCCCTCTTCTGGTGGCATTTCCAAATGTTAGTTACCACCTTTCAGTCCCTGTGACCTGGATGACCAGGACATTTAGGGCTGATTTACACCAGCAATTGCCCTACAATGCACAGCTGCTGGATACAGTGCTGATGTGTTGCTCTATGTGCACCACGTCGTTTACCCTTTTTGTTTTTGTTAGAAATGTATTGAAATGTCACAAGTTACATTTCATTAAGTTCTGTGGACGCAGTGCGATGAGAAGAGAACTTAGGGCTCAGTCACACCACTGTGCCGCTGTAACACCTTCCAATTGCACCTGCATTGCAATGTAACCCTCAGCAATACACTACTGCGTGTTGTGTTGCAATGTGCGAGAGAGAATCTTGCAGGAGCTATTTTTGGTCCATTTTGGTATGTTGTGCAACTCATTGAAATTAACAGGCAGTCCTATCGCAACACACAACATAACACATGTGTTTAATGCACCACAACAGCCTGCCCTGCCTTAAATGGACCCTTAGATTGGCTTTTAGATATCTCCATGAAAGTGACAGGTGGCAAAATGTTTGCCTGTCCTTGAGGGCTTGTTCACACCTAATTCACACTGAATCGAATAATAAGCCCTGTGTTCTGGGGCAGGAGGGGCGGTGGGTGGTCAATGGCACCGCAGCCACGCCTCCCGCCTGCAGTGCGATCGC